TGTGCTTCCTTATCTGGATCTTCTTTTCTTGGCTTCAGTTTTTGATGAATTCCTCTTTTTGAAGGTCACATTTCCTTATACAGCATGTCCTTGGATAATGTCATTTTCTCCTAAGAGTTCTGTACTTACGTGGTCGCTGCAGTCAAATCCCAAATAAGTTCATTAGTGACTTACCCTGTTTCTCTCTTTACCTGTCTGCTACATGTAAATTCTGTATTATTATTATTTTTTTAATTCAAGGACATGTTTTGTGATTTTTTTTAGCTTTTTTCCTGGCTCCACTGTAATTTCTTTGTACTTTATTTCTTTCCTTTACCCTTTCTTGATTTACATACACATTTCTCATATTGGTGCATGAATCAACAAAGTCAAGGGTTTTAAGCTTTGGCATTACTGACACTTGGGGCCAGAGCTTTCTTTGTTGTCAATGGGGAATAAGGTGTCCTTATTCACACAGTATTTTATCCATGGAGAATGTCTTGTGCATGGATGGATGTGAAGCTCTCTGCCCACTAAACACTGGTTGCCCCCCCACCCCATATCAATATCTCCTGGGGGACAAAATCAGCCTCTGTTGAGAACACTGCTCTAGGCGAATAAAGGGATATATGCCAGAGGTTAAATAAAATTTTGAATTGAAATAAGGCAGCTCTACTGGATGTGTTAGTTTTACTAAAATAATATTTTGAGAACACTTATTAAAACAAATACATCATGGAGTAGGACTTAATACTTGCATGAAATTTAAGGATCAAAGATTAAGAGCTGCAGGCTATTAATTCTCGGTGAAGAGATCAACAAATACATGTGACAAAGTTATCCGTCTGGATTCTTCCCTGTGCTTTGAAGGCTTGTGACCGTGACTGAAGGCTTTATGTGCTGTTTCTGACTCAGCACCAAGCACAGGCATCACTGGTTCCACGCTAAGGCACATCCACCAAACATCTAGTAACTTCACCTCGTTTGTGCCATCTTCTGCCATCTTCCTGGCTACAACGCTATTCTTTTCTTCTCTCTCACCTCCCCGAATGGGTGGAGAATAGTCAAGTCACACCCAGAATCCTGATGGTCTTGCTCTATGTGCCCAAAAGCTTATGATGAGATTATATATACATATGTAATTATTATATGTAGCATAATAATCAAACATATATAATCACAAATATGTTATCATGTCTATTTGAATATACATGTACAATTTCTAGCATTTGTCTCTGAGAGAATGAAGTTTACTCTACTTCATTGTACAAATATATACTTCATTGTACAAATATATGCAACAGAATGGGGGAAATCGGGGGCCCAAATTTCTGACTTGTAATTGAGGAAAATCAAATATATAAGGGTCATCTCAGATCCAAGAGCTGAAAATTCAGGGAATTTAAATAACAATCATGTTATTATCCTAAAATTCTATGCAGTGACTGGGCTGTGCTGAAAAGTTCTTTGGACTGGAGCTGCCTGTGTATAAACCTGACTAGACCAGAACAGTCAAGATGGTGCCCTTACCTGACAAAGCTGGTGCTAACTGCTGGCTTGTTGCGCTGCCTGGGTTGCTGAAGGGAGAGAAAACATTTGTCCCCTGCTGGGCTTCTCTCAGGTGGGCAGCCCCTTTCTGAGAGTGAGTGTCCCAAGAGAGATTGTTTCATGAAAGTAGTGAAAGCTGACAGTCTTCTTAAAGACTAGCCCCAAAACTGACAAAGAATCACATCAGCAGTGTTCTCTGGGCTGTGTGTTGATGGGACTAGCCCACATTTAAGGGCATGGAAAATAAACTTTTTCTCAATGATTCCATTACCATCTTTAGTCACTGTAGCCTCTGGCTGTTGGAGCAGTCTGGGGTGGGCTGCTGAACCCTGCACCCTTGGTTACTTGGAAGAGCCAGTGTGGCCTGCCAGGTTGCTTTGACCCTGCCAGGATGAGGGGCTGAATGCTCTCCCTTATGTCTAGACACTGTCCGAGCCTGAGGGGTTGCTGTCTGCCAAGGTCTGAACTCTATCCCTGATATTCTGAGCGAAGGGGCTGCTAGGAAGGGGGTGGAGTGGGGAGGCTTAAAAGGGAGCTGTGCATGTGGGTTTGCTCTCTGTCAGTGAGATGCCTTTACCCGTGGGAGTGTGGTGGGGGTGCAGTGAGTGGAGTTGGGTGGGGGGCACCTAGCAGCGGGCTCTGTAGCTGCACCTGGCACCATCAGTTCAGACTTTCCTCTCTTTCTTCCCTTCTGATGAAAATGGTGTTGTTTTGTTTTTGATTTTTGCTGCACCAAAGGCCCCTTCGTTCGTATTTGTTGTGGTGGATGCCCGGACCCAGAACCCATGAGAGACCTGTGACAATTTTTAGACCTTTCTCCTCCAAACATGGCCCTTTTTTTGGGAGGCATTTTCCCCCCACCTATACTTGGATCCTACATTGAGTGACTTTTGTTGCTATTAAACCACCTCTTTCACCATTTGGCCCCCCACCCATTGAGTTCTACTCTAATATTGTAATCTTCCTTCTCCTTTATTGCCAATTCATTTTCTTCTTTCATTCTTTTTGTTTGTTTGTTTGTTTTTGTAATCTTAAGAGTCAGAACCTGGACCTCTGAAACCAAATGCTACCTTTTCTTCACTTTATTTTTCATTTCAGACATCATGTAAACACCGGGGGAGCCCATCAAGCTCCGTAAGTCTTCAGTCTTCTAATAAATATGTTCACGTTTCACAAAATTTCTCCAACCAGGGGTGTGGGTTGTGTGGCTGCAATAAGTCCTTTTGGGGAAGAAGCATCAATTGCTAGTTTTTCACCTTGATGTTCAAGCTTATTTTGTCTTGCCACTCTCCCACAGCGTAAAGCCTGGTGTTTTGACTTCCCCTGCCTGTTCAGTTTCTTTAATTGTGCCAGTAAAGAAATATTTGAGGACAAGGAGCTAAGACAATAGATGCCGTGAATGACATTGTTTAGAATTTGCAATCACATGGCTGAAAAACTTCTACACACTCCCCATGGTCACGGGATAAAGTCCAAACCCTAGGCACAGAGATTGAGGACCTTCCCATTCTGACTTGCTTTCATTTCATGCCCTAGTTTCTTTTTTTTTTTTTTTTGCCCCACCCCTACTATACACTATAAGCTCCAACTCAGTATTTCTCAAGAGCTGTCTGAAGACTATTTGCATCACTATGAAAAATGCTGATCCCAGATTTTTTTGGTTGGGGGGAGTAGGGCCCAGAATACTACATTTTAATAAGCACACTAAAGTTTAAGTCGCTTCTACTTTGAGAATAGGACTGCTAAGATAGTCCCAACACCTTGGTTTACCTTTAAATTCCAAAAATTACATATCAGAGTACATGCCATCATTTTCGAGAGCAGTATCACCACCATCACCTAGAGTACAGAAGGAAGAGCTCCTCCGTAGGATGAACTCTTCATCCATCCAGAAGAAACTACAAAGATGTAGAAGGACCGAAGAAAATATTTCTATGCTTATGGTGGAAGGAGAGTGAAACCTTAAAAATATCACACATATAAGAACCCCAATTCTTTCATAGTCTAGCCCCCCATGTCCTCTCTTCATTTTGCCCTAAATAATTACACCCCACCATCAGCTCAGGCAACCTGGAATTCCATCTGCCTCCTGCCCCTGGAATATCTCATCTCTTCTTCCCTCCTGTGTGTGTGTGTGTGTGTGTGTGTGTGTGTGTGTGTGTGTGTGCATTTTCCAGTTAAGGCCCAATGTAAAGGTTACCTTCTGCCCCAAATCTTGGGTCTTAGTGAATCACTTTCACTCCCTTAAAATTTCACAAATGTCATTTTCTCATGTACGTAGGACGGAACTCAAACGTCCCCAAGACCCACAGCTTGTGAGTACAAGCGCAGTCAGCGCTGATAGCCACTTCAGGATCTTGGTAGCCTTTGTTCACCTGGGAGCTGCAGGTTTGTCTTCCTGCTTCAAAAACGAGTCCAGATGCTCTGCTGCTGCTGCTGCTGCTCAACCATTAAATTCCCCTTCGTCTGTGGTCTCTCTTCACTCCACTCAAATGCCCAGGCGCCCTCACCCGCGCCCCCCAGGCTGCCAGCACAGCACAGTCTGCCCCAGTCTGCAGCTCCATACGCTGGACTTGGCCGCCAGCGCATCCCTCTGCAGAGCTAAAGCGCTGAGCTCCGCGGGTGCTAAATGCTTTGGGAACACAATCTACAAACTGACAACTGGAAAAATACCAGAACAAGCAGCCGAGGTCGAGAGCCTCGTCAGGGCTGGGGTGGGGGGCAGCGAGCTGACACCGCTGGACGTGCATCTGGTTGCAAGCTTCTTGGCAGCACGGCCTGAAGGCAACGCCCGCATAGCCGATGCCATTGTTCCCACCGTCACACAGAAGGTTTCTGCCGGGTGATGCTCTCCACAAAACCCTGGACGCGCTCGCTGCCTCCCTACCTGCAGGCGCCACGACCTGCGCACCTGGGCGGGGGCTGGCAGAGGCGCGCTCCCCGGGGGTCTCCCATGGGCACCCCAGAGGGAGCTGGGGAGGGACACGGGCCGGGCCTCCCCCCTCCTGCAGTCCGCGAGCACTGGGGTCGCGGGGGCCCAGCTGAGCCCCGCACCGGGGGGACCGGGGCCCGCAGCGGGAAGGGGGCGGCACTCGGTGGCCGGGCGCTCAGGTAGTGGGTCGGGCGGGCGGAGGGGCGCCCAGCGCGGGCCCCGCGGCCGCCTCCGGGAGGCCGGGTCCGGGCCCGCCCCGCACCCCTCCCACGTGGGCGCCCCGCGCCGCCGCCCCTGGCGTGGGGAGCCCGGCCCGCACCCCGGAGCCGGCCGGGGACGCGCGGCGGCGGGGCGGGGCGGGGCCTCACGCGGAGGGCCCGGGGGCGGGGCCTCTCCGGGGCGGGGCCTCAGCCAGGGGCGGGGCCTCGCCCGGGGGCGGGGCCTGGGCGCCGGGAGGCGGCGGCGGCGGCCACGGCGGCGGGGCGGAGGGAGGGGCGCGGGGAGGGTCGCGTCACCTGACCGCTGCCCGCGCCGCCCGCCGCTCGCTGCTGCCGTCAGTCGGGCCGCGCCGCGCCTCGGCTCTGGTGAGTGAGTGGCCGCGCCGTCCCGTCCGCCCGCCCGCCCGCGCCCTTCCCGGCCGGGTCCGCGGGACGGCGCGCGGTCGGGGCGGGCCGGGGGGCAGCGGCGAGCCGTCGCCGGGCGGCGGCCTTCGGGGCGGGGGGCGCTCGGCGGGGCCGGCGGGGGGCGGCCGCGGCCCGGTCTCTGGACGCGGCCCCGGAAGGGCGACCCGTCGGCGCTCGGGGCGCGCGGCCGCGCTGTTGTTTACCGGCCCGCGCCGAACTTTGCCCCCGCGGGCGGGCGGGGGGCGGCGGGTGTGCCGGCCGCGGGGTCCCGGGCGCCCGCGCCCACCCCCGCCTGTCGGTCGCGGCTCCGCGCGGCTTCGGGCCCCCGCCCCTCGGGGCGCCCGCGGGGGGCGGTGGCGGCGGCCGCGAAGAGGCCGAGGTCCTGGCCCGAGCCGAGGCCACCTTGCGGGCCGGGGAGCCAGGGTGGCCGGTGCGGGCTCGGCCCCCCCAGGGCGCCGCGGCTGGGGTACCGCCGCCCGTCGTGGGGACTCCACAATGGGGCGAGCCCGGGCTTTGTGCTCGTCTAGGGGGACGCGAGGGCACGGGCTTGCTCCCCCTCGCCCGGCAGGTTCGCGGCGCGGAGTAGGCGCGGCACGAGGGTCGGCGCGGAGCCGGCGCACCGGGGAGCAGTGGCGGGGCGAGGGCGTGCGTGGGCGGAGAGGCCGGCCTCCCGGGCGTGGAGGGCCGAGGGCTGTTTTGGAGGGGTGCTTATTTGGGGGAACAGTGCTCCGGTGCTGGGACTGTGAACCCATGCTGGCTCCGCTGCTAGGTCTTTGTTCCCGTTTGCACGCGCCTGCCACCCCAGAGGGCTGACGTTTAAGGCACATCAGAGACACAACGGCGTGGAAACACCCGGGCGTGTTGGTGATGGGGCGCTTGGGCGCGTCGCGGGGTCGAGAGAAGGAATGGGGAGAGGCCCGCTCGCCTGGCTGCGTCCGAGGCTTGGGTCGTGGGGCAAGGTCTGGGCTGGGCTTGAAGGCACTTGCCACTTGTGCCTCTGGAGGAAAGAGGCTGGGGCAGGGGGTTGCTCTGGGTGAGTCATCTTGGAGCAGGACGGCTCTGGGTTAGTGATTGCGTCGCATCGTGTGTTGCTGCTGTGTAACTTATGGCTGGGTCGAGTACGTTACCATTGTTCAGTTTGGTGGTTGGCTAACAAGGTAGGATGACTCCTTGAAAAAGTTGCTTTGCTGAGTCATTCCCCACAGCCCGAGAGGTAATTCGGAACAGCTGGTGCGGGCGCTCTCATCACATGCCTGCACTGCCAAGGGCCAAGGAGCGCTCAAGAGGGGTGGTTTCAGAGGCTAAAGGGGACCCAGCTGGGGTGGTCTGTTTGGATGCAGGTGCCCCAAGGGTGAAGGGCAAGAACACTCGAGGAAGTGGCCCAGTAGTGCTGAGGTGGTTGAGTAGCCTCCTGACCTACTGCCTGAGAAATTGTAGTTGAAGAGAGCTGAAACTCAGGAAGAAATTTGCCTTTCAGGCTAACCTATTAACAGTGTTGTGACAGAAGTATTAACTGCTTTTACTGTTTTTTTTTTTTGTTGTTGTTGTTGTTGTCATTTGTGGTTTTGTTGTTTATACCTCTCAAAAAGTGAACTTAATTTGTTCTTCATGAAGATTTCCTTGTGAGACTACAGAAGGAGTCTCTCTCTCGGTTTACATGGCCTTTGACTTTTCACGCATACACTGGTAGTTTCTGGTGATAGAGTTGAGGGTAAGGAGCAACGGATGGAATTAACAGGTTTCATTGGATCAAGTCCTCGAGCTGTCTCATGAAAGGCAAGCCATACAGATCTGCCTCACTATCACAGGGTGCTCTCTCAGATTACTCTTGGATAATTACTTCTTTAAAAGTGACCCAAGCATATCAGTTCCCATTGCTAACAAAGTTGAGGAATGAGAAATGGAAAGGGAGGGAGTGGGGGTGGAGGGAAAACCTGGCCCTCACCTGTGGTCGAAACTGACTAATTCTTAAGGGTGGTAATTCATTTAAAAAATCTTTTGCATTTGAAAAAAAAAAAGTGTGTTGTTCAAAGTTTGGGACTAAAAGACATTAGCAGTCATGAATTTTTTTAGGTATTAGGGTTTCTGAGGTGGGGTACAAGGTTATTCCTTGGAAGAAAATACTAAGACTTGAAAATATTTTACTTTGATGTAAATAAGAAAGACAAGGAGCTTCAAAATACAGACTTACTTAAAGAAGTACATGTATATTACACAATGTGGTGCATACCCCCCTTTTTCTGTTGGGGAACATAAAGAGTTAGCCCTTGCCAAGTGACATTCTTTCAATAATAAAACCCTTTTGATTTCCTATATGAGCTGTCATTCTTTCAAAACGTTGTTAATATTCCCTTAATTTTATTTCATGTGATCTTTTTATACTGCACTTTAAAAATTAGAAGTTTGAGTGTAAATTTGTCATTACTTCATTGATGCCTGGGATAGAAATACAAAAATCAGAGTTTCCCATTGCACATAGTACCATTGTATTTTGAATTTGGAGACAAACAGATCCTTGGTTTCTTTTGTGATCTGAAGTTTAGTGGGAATGCCTGAAGATAACCTACACGTTGGAGTGTGATCTGTGTATAACAAATTTAAAAACTTACTTTGTACTGTTACTCCTGGAAGTCTGAGTATATGGGAAGGAAGCAAGTATATGCCCCATTTAGCAAGGATTAATAAGACTGCATATTCAGCAAATCACTTGTCCTCTCTTAGGAGAATATGATTTATTCAGAAAATTGAACTTGTAGGCACATGGGGGATGGTTAGTATTTACCATTCAGTTAATCTCATAGGCCATATGCCTCTGTATTCCTGTACTGTGAGAAATGATGCTCAGAATAAACACTAACAGCCCTTCAGATTGACCAGTCAGAGGTTCTCTTCACAGTGTTCATCGCCAAAACATGTTTTGGGAAATCATCACCACTCAATTTTCTAATTAATGTTGGTAGGAGAATTTTGATTTAACCCTAAAACTTGTATTTCCTGAGAGTTCTATTAAATGAACTGTTTATGTGGTGGGATGAATGATTTATGGATGTATTTTGATTAAAAAAATAATGCCAAGTAAGGTAATCTGCCAAAGCCCAAGAACATTGTTTGTCAGAATCCAGGCCCCTGGGAGAGAGTGAACATTTCAGCACTGCAGGTAAAATACAGACTTACACCACCATGAAACCTGGGCTCTAGGACTTATTCAGCACCTAGCGTTAACAGACTGGAGTTTATAGCGATGAAACATGGCTTTGATCATTTTGCAGCTGGCAGATCAACAGTTTGATTAGGCTACAGGGAGGAGGATGAGGTGGGGAGCAAAGGGGAGGGGGTGTCTAATGGAGGATTACTGGGACTTTGGTGGTGGGTGTGGTGAAATGACATAGAATCTTAAAGTTGTAAACCTCTATCCCTAAGGTATACTGTGATGTAAATCAACATTGCCTCAGTAAATATAACTTTTTTTTTTTTTTTTTTTTTTTTTAAAGTGGGAGCTCTGGAGGCAGAGCCCCGGGAGCTACGTGCTTTGAAGCCTTAGGCAAGTTAGTTCACCTAGTTGTACCTCCTTTTCTCATCTGTAAAGTAGGGATGATGATAATAGAATCTATATCATAAAGATTGAGAATTCACTGAGTTAATACGAGTTAAGTGTTTAGAACAGTGCAGGCTCCATATTAAAATCAGTACATGTTAGGTGCTATTATCATCTGTTGTTCAAAATCAGGGAAGTGCTTGCTTAGAGTCATTGTGCAGCCGCCTCAAGCTGAATGGTCTCCATTGATCACAAGGGAGACTGGGGAGAGCAAGTGGGGATGCTGCAGGTGGCTGCTACTGGAAAAACAACTCAGATGAACACGCTAAGGCTAAGTCAGTAGCAGCAGTCTCAGACCCTACTCCTGAGAGCAGGGGACACAGGACAGCTTTACTAAGGGAATTTAACAATCTCAGCTGAATGCTCTAGGGGCAGTCATTGCCAGTTACTTGGAACTGACTTTTGAAGAAATAACTCTTGCCATTCTTCATCTAGTTTGTTTTTTTCGTGTTACAGTTGGAGATTCTGTGGCCTGGCAGGTCTAGTAGCTTGTCCGCCCTTTCCTGCTTATTAATATTAGGACAGAACTCATTTCTTGAGTCTCACACCTCCGCAGTTTGTGGGGAACATTTGAAATGTAAATTTACCTGCCAATTACACCTTCCTGTTTTGTTTTCTTTGAATTACATGCTTATGCTAATATAGAAAAATTATCTGTGATAAACAGGTATTTATCATAGAGTTTATCAAATAGCCTTCTGCACCTGCTAGTCATTCAGGAAGGCCGTGTCAAGCATTTTGATCATCCTCTTAGTTAGAGTGTAAGTTTCTTAATGATGAAGCTCTGTGTCGTCTGTTTTATCTCCCTTGGAACACTGAGTGTGCCTTTGCCTGTGTTTGTTCAAACTATCCATTGCTGCACTGTTGGTAGAACACCAATGTATTCTCATTCTGTGGTTTCGAAATTTGGGAATTTTTGATAGATTAAAGGAAAGAACATTGTGTTATACCTCTTGAGATAATGTTAAGTGTGGATTGAGTTGAAACTCTTGATCATTTAGAATTCTGCTTTATTTTTATTGCTGATATGAATATTGAGGAAGCAACTGAATTTATTCCTTCAGTTCATCTCCTGAGATAGAAAGAGAATTTGTCTTATGATTCTTTTTTTTTTTTTTTTTTTTTTGGTGGGACCCTCGCCGACTGCTGGGGAATGAACCTGCGCTGTAGAGGCTGCGGGCAGCCCCTCAGCCCAGCACTCAACTGCTGCACCACCAGGGAAGGCCCTGTCTCATGATTCTTTTTTACCTATAGCTGACGTAGAATGAAATTGAGCAAAATATAATTTTGGATTTTCAAGATGTTAGAACCTCTTATATACATCTAATACTTAAGATTGCATCTCTAGAACAGATACTTTATTTAG